AATATTTATTTATTTATTTATTTGAGAGAGAGAGAGAGCACAAGCAGGGTGAAGGGCAGGGGGAGAAGCAGACTCCCTGCTGAACAGGGAGCCTGACATGGGGCTTTCCTGAGATTCAGCCTGGCTGTAGAGTGATAGAATAGTATAATGTACCAAATAAAGCATGCGTGCACACACACACACACACACACACACTTCATAAGAATTACAAATAACAAACTCTAAACACTAGCCTCAAGTATGCTCAAAATCATAATATAAGATCAGCTACTTTCCCATTTGAATGCCTTATCAATGTTGTTTTTCTTCAACCCCCAAATGCTCAGGTAAGATGTTCTTACCACCAAGTTCAGGTTTTATCAGTAGACAGAAGCAGAACATAATAGTATCTTTCACTGCTATATTCAAATTAACTTTCTTTGACACTTAGATCATACTATTCTGTGAATTGGTAACATAACTGAAAATATGCTAGCTTTGATGGGTAAATGGAGTTAAACTTTCTTACATACTGGAAAATCTTGTCAAAACTTTCCAAACTGTTGACTGTTCCCTTCTCTCCATGAATCTGAAATCTTTCCTTGGTGCAAATTCAGTGTTTAAATACAGGAGCTAATTTTGTGTTTTATTTCCAATGTTTTCTCTTCAGGAAAAAAAAAAAAAAAACTTGGTTGGTGATTGACTAATCGTAAAAGGTATATCCCAAATTAGGAATAACCAAAGTTTTTGACATTTAAGGAAGATATGCTTTGTCTCTTCAGCCTAAATATGATTCTCTTATTTTTCCTGAAATTTTATTTGTGAATTTCTGTGGATTAATTCTATTGTTTAAAAATTTATCTGAAAAATGCTAAAAACCACAAAAGTAAAAACTCCCCAGGATCAGACAAATTAAGAAACAAGATGAAATTACAAAGTAAAGCCACCCGTGTCCCCTTCCTCTGCTTCACTAATTCTACACGGGGAGGTAAATCACTTTTAACCTGTGCTTTTTATCTTTTTCCTGTGTGTTTACAGACATTTCTGTGTATACGTATCTACCAAACAGGTGATCGTACTAGTCATTGGTTTGGCAACTTACTTTTCTCCCTTTTACACTGTGTCATTAGCTGTCTTTCTAGGTCACTACATTTAATTCTACTTCTGATCTCAAAGTCTGGAGACCTGCTGGGGAAATGATCTGCAGGTGAATTTTGTTTGGTTTGGGCCACATCATGCGTTTGAAAAAAATTGGATTTGGATCTTTTTTGGTGACAGACCACCTGCTTCCATTAATTGCTCTCAACTCTTTGTTACCACATCTGCTTAGTTATCGGAAACTTTTACATATGTGACTCTCAAATATTATTCTACTATATTGCTCTACTCTCATTTAACCCCTCCTCCGAATGGAACTTTAAATTGCCCCCCCCAACCTTTTTTTTTTTTTTCACTATTAAAAACAATGCTTCTCTAACCCTCCTTAAGTATCTATTCTGTTATTTCTTTAGTATGGCTTTTTAGAAGTGAGATAGCCAAGTTATGAAGTAGCGCACATTTCATCTTTCAGAGACACTGCAAATTACAAAAAAGCACCTGTTTATACTTTCAGGAGAAGTATATGAATCAAATTTCCCTCCGTTCTTCACTAATGGGTTGTATCAACTCGTGAAATTTTTTCCATTCTGAAAGGTGAAAAAATTATAATGGTTTTAATTAGTATTTTTAAAAATTATTAGTGAACTTGATTACCTCTTTCATATGCTCATTGGTGTATGTATATATAGTCTGTGAATTACATATTCCTACGCTACACCTGTATTTCATTTGGATTGTTTGTTTGAAATGTAAAATATTAACTCTTTGTTGTAAGTATTGAAAATAGCTTTTTTCAGTTCTTTGGTTCTCCTTTAACTTTGTTATTGCAATTTTTGGCCTATAAGAGCTTAACATTTTTATATAATTAAATTTCTCTTATGTTGCTTTAACATTTTTTCTTTGTCTTTGCATGTTTGAAGGGGAATTCATACCCACATATGTTGTTGTTGGAAATGTAATAGTACAAGTAAGCAACAGTAAAATTTAGCATGCCCCCCAAAAAACCCCCCAAACCCACCATATATATATATATATATATATAGCAATATTTAATGCCGCATTAGGCATAAGAGTAAAACCACAAGATATTCATTTTTTCAATATTCAGCAAATATTAATCAAGCATATTTGAAAGTTTGAAACTGAATATCCAAATTTTCCCTAAGATATCCTTAATAAGTATCATGTGGTATGGAAGCTAGTATTCTTTTGGAATTTTCATTTTCAATTTATACGTGTTTTCTGGAAACAACAGAAAACATACCATAACATTACTTCTCCCCGCTGTATTGCTGTATTTAGCGATGTTGGGATTCAGAATAGCTAGCTAGGGATTAGAGAGAATGAAAATTAAATTTCCAACCCTTTCTTTTCCCATCTCCTACTTTTACACATTTGACCTATGAATAGAACTGATTTTGCTTAATTCTACTTTTTAGTTTGTGGTGAAATTTTCAGTATTAGTTTACCCACACTAGGTATCTTGTTTGTAATTGAAATTTCAACCATAGTAAACAGTGTAATGTGGATTTATTTTGAGGATGATACAATGGCCTAAATTAACATAGCCATGGATTACAGAAGTTTTTCTGAATTTTCAGCTTGGAAAACTTTATACAATCTTACTCCTTGATGATTATAGAGGTTGTTTTGGGTTTAGAGTGGTACTCCCTGGTCTCCACTAGGAGTTCTGATTCAGGGGGCCCTTACATAAAGAATCAAACGTAAAAAAAGCACCATTTTTAAGTGTATGTTCAAGTACTTTCTACCTCATAATTCTGGAGCCTCTCATGATGTTGGATTTGGGACTTCCTGCTTTGACCTTGGGACCTACACATTCAGGTTTGCCTGTAGAACCCTTGCAGCTGCAAGTTAGACTCTGAAACCATGTTTTGAACCTGTTGCATGAAGAGGACTGAAGACTAATATCACATTCTTGGTCTAAGCAGAGCGGAAAGGTAAAGGTGTGCCCACAAAAGCAGGTCTGCTTACCCCATAGGGACATAAAAGGCAAGGTGGCCTCATGTCTGAGCTCAGGAAAAGAGAGAACAGGGAAGATCTGCTCCTCAGTGGAGAGTTAAGGAAGAAGCCTGCTTTTGAGACACAGTCATCCTGCCCATTAGTAAATAAACCCAGTGAATATAAGACTCTGGTCAATTGGCTTAGCAACTCATCCTTTTGAAAGTAGGGATGAAAAGGAGTGTAGAGTGGGTCAGAGAGAGAAACCAGAAACATCCTCTTTAGTGATTATCCATGTGCACCGAGAGAGGGGAAGCCTTACTGAAACGTTTGGAGAAGAGTGAAGATGTTTGCTTGAACAGTATCTGCAAGTCTGTCACACTCTTTACATTCATCTTGTACAATTTAAGTTGAGCATTGCCCCAATTAGCAAACAGGATAATCTACAAATATCTCTGGAATGCTGTATGAAAGTTTTACCGTGTTGACACTGACACCTTGCAGATTGTTTCCAGTTACCACAATAGTGAGAACGAACAGCAGAAGCCCTGCCTGTATTATTTTAATTAACTGGCAGTTGGGTATTCATTATATTGCATGCAGGTAATTATATGCTAGATGCTCTGGGGATATAGATAAGGGTATGACTGGGTGCTGGCTTGATAAAGGTCACAGTCTAATTCGGTTAAATGTAAGGCTTTCAAGTTGCTCTGCCCGTTTGACTACTAGGTCTCCCACTTAGTGTCCCTACACTTCAATTTCTTCAACTGTGAAATGGAGATAATAAAATAATATAAAGCTTAAATTAGTGTGTACAGCACATTTGGCTCTGGGCCTGGAACTAGGTAAGTGCTCAGGAGAATTTGCTGTGATTATGCCCATGACTACTATTTTGTTACTACTCCTGCTCTTGGATAGTTTATGAATTACTAATTGCCTGTTAGCCTCATAATCACTCATCTGAGAAATAGAGTCGGAGTTGTCGTCTGCTGTGAGAGTTGCCATGTGACCTTGCTATCCCGCCATGTGACACGTGACCTTGCTATCCTAACTGATCAAACCAGGAATTGGTACCCATAACCAATGGTTTTGGATTGCTATCTTCCTGACATTGTCAGCTTTGAAGACACTGAAGTCCTTTCACAGTTATGGCCTTGGTGGACTTGGTCGCCTTCAGCACCATGTGGCTGAGTAATCATTTGTTACACTGATCCTGCCCATCTGCTCCTGAGTTTGGGCACCAGACAGAAGCTGGTCTATGCCTTCCTCACAGTAACACATGCCCAATGGGTCCCGTATCCTACCCACACAGCTCAATGATCTATCTCACAGGCATTGCCTTAACAAATATATTTATTCTTCATTGTGTCTTCAGATCTATAAGAGATTAAAGCACACAGGGTGGTGGGGGGGGGGCAGGTGGATTATGGCATACCATTTGAGACCTACCTCCTTTGCCTAGGAAAGCCACATAGAACAATGGATCCCAATGTGTGTGTGTGTGTGTGTGTGTGAGTGGAGCAGGGGATGAATGTATCAGAATTACTTCCACTCCCACCCAACAAAACATCCTGAAAACACCACTTAGATAGAAAGCCAGTGAACTACTCAATTAAGACTCTTTATATTCCCCCTTATTAAGGTGCAGGATTGCTTCCAACATGAAAAGTATAATTGTTCCAGCATGTAGAGATTTATGAGTCTTTACTGTTTAGGTTAAAGCTAGGCTGCTGAAATATTAGAGATCCTATAATACAGTGGCTTAAAAACAAGGAATTTTCTTTCTTTCTCACCTAAGAGTTCCAACATGGCTGGAAGCTCTCCTCCTTGTGTTCACTCAAGGACTCAGGTTCTCATATAGTTATTTTTTCTGACAGCTTCTAGGGTACTGTCACCATCTGCATGGACTCTGCTGGATCGCCATCACATCCCTGTTTAGGCTGGTGGCAATGGGAGTAAGAACATAGAGGAGGCAAGCTCACTGCCTTCAGGGCTAGGTCTGGAAGTGATACGGCCACGTCTCTTCAATTCTATTGGTGAGAACTTTGCGCATGACTATTCTTAACTGCAAGAGAGCCTGGGAAATGTAATTTAACTGGGCAGTCAGGTGTCCAAGATGGGGGAAAATGACCTTCGGTGGGCAACCAGCAGTCTTGCCATCGATACCTTGTTGAGAAACGTGAGGTATACAGTTATAGTGTCAAATATGTCTGTGACCAAAACACGGTTATAAAATTCCAGCTCTCACTGAGTTCTATCTATTCTTGGATAAGAAAAGGTTTATGATTTATTAAGATTAGAACTCTATACTCAATTCATTCATATATATGAATATATACACATAATATACATACTCATAAATGTATCTTGATTAAATTCTCAGGTTGATACTGCAATAAAGATACTGAGAGAACGGAACGCGATGTAACAGTTGGTATAACGTAAGGCATTTAAGGGTATGATTTGGGCTACCTGGGATTTTGTGCCAACACTGTCATTATCTGCATAACTTTGTCAATGCATTTCACCTTTCTGGGTCTCATTCTCCAAGTGTTCTAAGGTTTTAACAGTACAGGGGTCCCTGGATGGCTCAGTCGTTAAGCGTCTGCCTTCGGCTCAGGTCATGATCCTAGCGTCCTGGGATCGAGCCCCGCATCCGGCTCCCTGCTCGGCGGGAAGCCTGCTTCTCCCTCTCCCACTCCCCCTGCTTGTGTTCCCTCTCTCGCTGCTCTGTCTGTCAAATAAATAAATAAAATCTTTAAAAACAAACAAACAAGCAAAAACCCCAAACAAAAAACCAGTACAGTCCTGTCCTATTAATTTTACCTTCAAAATATATCTTAAAATCACCTGCTCTTCGTCTACTTCTCTATCACCCTTGTCCCATCTCCTTCCAGAGTCTATAAATCCAATTCCTTTTCCTTCTCCAGCCCATCTCAGGCTGTTCTCAGATTTATCCCCAGTGCCTTTTTTCAGTTCCTAGACCACTCTGAGCCTTTCTTTCTCAGAACCCCTGCATTCACTGGCCCCTCTGACCATATCTCTCTCTTGTCCTTTGTGTGGCCATGTCCTCCTCCTCATCCTTCAGGCCTCAGCTTTGACGTCACCTCTTGTAGAGACTTTCCTGATCACCCTGTCTGAAGTAGGCTTCTTCCAACATTGTCAATCTCAAACACAATTAACTTTCTTCAATCATATTTGGTAATTATCTTCTTTTTTTTTTTTAAAGATTTTATTTATTTATTTGACAGAGAGAGACACAGAGAGAGAGGGAGCACAAGCAGGGGGAGTGGGAGAAGCAGGCTCTCCCCTGAGCGGGGAGCCTGATGCAGGGCTCGATCCCAGGACTCTGGGACCATGACCCGAGCCGAAGGCAGACGCTTAACGACTGAGCCACCCAGGCGCCCCAATTATCTTCTTTATTCATTTATTTATTTGTCCTCTTTCTGTTTCTCTCTTTGCACCATTAGCCTTCACCGAACTATTAGCTCTATTAAGGGAAGAGAAAATGTCTGCCTTATTCATCCTATTAACTCTATCACCTGGCACACACCCCTGCTCCTAGTAAGTACTCAATACTTATTCAACAAATGTTGAATAAATTAACATAGAACTTTACAAATGAATGATCTGATAATTAGTTAATTAAAACATAATTTCATGTATTTAAAGTAAAAAAGATTATACTTTAAATTTTAGAGGAAAGATATTTAAAAGAATACATCAGTGAGCCCTGTTTTAAGACAAAAGTGATTTCATAATATGAATTCCTTTCTTTTATTTTGTCTACTTTGTTATTTCATATTTACTGTCCTATTTACCTTTAAATATTCTCTTATTTGAATACTTTCTCCACCCTGTTAAGATGGGAGATTTTGGGGAGAAAATTCACTATTCTTAGGCCTCATTTTGTTTTGTATAATTTTAATCATGACAGTCTTTCCCAAATCCATGTTTATTTAAATATTTATTTCCTTTTGCATATGTTAGGATTGAATATGTTGTTTTAATTAGCGGCACTGCTTTCTTGTTGCTGGATGTATTGCTTTGGCATTTGACCAAAAGCAAAACAGAATCAACGCAGTGTAATCTATGGCAAGGAACTGAATCTCACTGCACAATGGCATTTCATCAGCTAGGGGCTAGGAGATGGCCTACTTACCCAAGGATGGGTTGTGGGCACTACAACTCTGTACTCACAGGCACTCAGAGCTGCCATTTTCGGTTCTCCCACGGAACTTTTTTGTCTGCCCTTGGTTTAGCTTATAGCTGGATGACAATGAAATAAAATAAAGTTGGAGGGAGAAAAAAAAACTGTCAAAAAACCACATTCCTTTAACAAGTTTCTGTTCTGGATGTTTTATAAGTGGAATATCAAACGTCTGAGACTCTGTAATGAGAGTTCATCATATAAATGTACACAGAGAATAAAACAAATCACGCTGCTGCTGTGTAGGGAAAATGGCAAATGCTTTTTCATGAGAGCTGCATGTTACTTATTATTAGCTGTATATTACTTATATAGAGTACTGGCTGATTTTAGCATGGTAAATGATCGTTGTATTTTATTTATTGACTTACTATTTCAGTTACATACCGATACCCCTTTAACAAATGCTGTATTTGTTGAGTTCTTTCTCTGCCAAGGCACAATGGGGATTTTTTTTCCAAAGGCAAAAATGTCAGTTTCATTATTGCGAAAGATGTGAATACTATATTATGATTTTTTTAGAGAAAGGAAACCCTGCATCTGTAATATACACAATGTTTTTAAACCCAACTCTTTGCCTCTTTTTAACAGCAGGGCAATTGAAAGCTGAAAGGGGAGAGGGAGAGAGGGAAGCTGTTTCCCCAGGGCTCACACACCATCAGATCTTCACCCAGCAGTGAGGTTCTACTGCATGGAAATCTATCCATGCAAGAGGGAAAATGGTACACCAGAGCCTCATCATAATGCCATTCTCTCTTGGGGGCAATTTAGTGCAAGGCATGGCCTTGTAAAGGTTCCCACTAAAACCCTATCATAACGTCACTGGGATTGGATTCCTATAGATATGAGACACCCTGACGTCAAGGAAGCCTCGCCATGGCCATTTATAGATTTATTCTAAACTTTAGATTTGGGGGGCATATTTCTTAGTACTTACATGCATATCACTAAACGCTCTATACACTACACATCAAACATTCTTTTTTAGGACATTTCTCAAAAGAAGATTCTTTTTCATAAGACAATGGCCTTATGTTTCTATGTGTAATGTGTCTACAGACCTTTCCTGTTAACATTCCTGCTTTGTTTAATTCCAAGTAATGTGATAGAAGGGTCTATTGTAAAATTATTTGCAAATGTGAAAGTCATGCATTTTGTTATAGGTGTAGGCAGAGAGCTGACTTCAAGTTATTTTAGGCATAAAGTGCTTTTTTCTCTTTCTTTTCTTTCTTTCTTTTTTAATATCTAGGAAAGGAAAGAAGAAGACAAATGCTTAGGGAACAAAAATCACTTAAGATTTTAGGCTCTAGAAGTAAAAGTATAGAAACAAAATTATTAAAAATAGCTTGTTGGCAAAGTCAGCTAAGATTTACCTCCCCCCTCTACATCATCGTGGTATACATATTGGGAATTGTAATATTCTTTTTTGTGTAATATTCTTTTCATATGGGAAACAAAATCAAATGCGTTGGAGAATTAGTCTGATTAAAAACCATTTTAGGACAATATGTTTATTATTATTCATTTACAATAGCAATAACAGCCCCAAATTATAAATGTGTAGCTTGCAAAATGCCATTTGGATATAATATGGTGAAATTTAAAAACCACAAAATCCTTTGTTTCATAACAAATTCACAATAACTACAAACTAAGCTATGGCTTAGTGTAGACCACTGTTACCTATGTGTAAAATAAAAAGAAAATGAGATTTGGGGAATCTTTATGCAATAGAGTCTGTAAGCCAATTTTTATTGAAGATGGCATTTTTTTGATACAACATTCATAGTAAAGCATCTATTATTATAGTAGTGATTATTTTTCTAAATGTTGAGCGTTTGGGCCACGAGTGAGAATTTGAAGACAACTATAAGATGTTTCCTCCTCTCCAGAGATGGTACTTAATTGTGTAATTCTTTTGGCTTATTTTTATTGTTATATATATATAAGTATATATATACACACACATATATATTTGTATAATTATATATTTATTTTAATTATAGTATAATTACATATATTTAATTATATTTTTAAATTTTAGTATATATACTGTAATTTTAGTTTCTCTTATGTTTATGTACATAAATGAATATTACAAACACCCTTTTCTGAATCACTTCCTCTTTATTGACCCACTGGTAACCCCGGGCCTCCTAATGGATGGAAAAAGGAGGAATGATCCTCCTCAAGTCAGAAGGCGTTTGAAGAAACCTTATAGGTTTAAGCACTCATCAACATAACATAGCAATGTTAATTGTTCAGCTCTTGTATGGCATGCATCGATGTATCACTTATAACTTCTAGGTGTCTACAGTTGCTCATCAACCACATCCTCACAGCCTGACATAAAGAGTACACACCCTACAGTATAAGGACATAGAGATATGACAAAAAGATGAAAGAAAACCTCACATAATAGCATTGTGTATCACTCTTGGGTGGTGACAGAGACTGTGGAGACTATTTCATGTTTAGTCAGGGTGAGGCCAGGAGGAGCTTGTCATGCCTTTCAGCTTGTCAAGAAATCTTCATGAAGAGAGAAGCTTTTACGAAGAGAGTGGAGACACTAAGTTTGCAGGGAGAGAATGTATCAGGCGTAAGGGATGGGGTCACGAAGATGGCTTCTGGAGAGCAGAGTAAGGAGGTTAGACAAAGGAGGACAGGAGTAGCTTTGCTCCTGAGGAGTGATATGCTAACAGACTCCTGCCTGAGTTACCCCAAGAGAAGAGACTTTTGAGTGTAAAAATGACCTCAACAGGGGTGTTAAGGATCAAACCGAGAGAAGAGTACCTGGATGAGAGAAAGTCCAATGATACAACCCAGTTCTTAGGATTGAAAGGAGGAGACGTTCGAGATGTGAAGAAAGATGGGAAAGGCAGTAGAAAAGACCAGAAGTTTCACTGAAGTAGCTGTAATACCAGGGCCCCTGGGTGGCTCAGTTGGTTAAGCGACTGCCTTCAGCTCAGGTCATGATCCTGGAGTCCCGGGATCGAGTCCCACATCAGGCTCCCTGCTCAGTGGGGAGTCTGCTTCTCCCTCTGACCCT